CACCAAGCTGACTCACCTGACCTGACCAATGAGAGCATTAGGGGAACACTTGCTTTGAATTGGAGTTTTCTTTTCAAAACTTAAATTAAAAAAACAAAGCAAAACAAAACTGTAGATGTTGCCAGGCAGTGGTGGCCCGAGCCTTTAATCCCAGCACTTGGGAGGCAGAGGTAGACAGATACATGTGAGTTTGAGGCCAGCATGGTCTACAAAGCAAGTTCCAGGACAGCCAGGGCTATACACAGAGAAACCCTGTCTCCAAAAACAAAAAAACAAATACAAAAACAAACAGCCCCCCCAAAAGTCAAACAACATGGAGATACATGAGCAGACTCAGGAACAAAGTCTTAATTTACATGAATAGTTTGGGACCTCCGGTAATACATGTAAAAGACATTAAATGTTTATAAATAAACTCTGTGCATTCCTTTGTAAGTCAGTATTTTTTTTTCTTTCCACATTCCTGTATGTTCTCTTGCTATCCCCCTTTTTTATTATTCGGATTTTTTTTTTTTTTTTGGTTTTTCGAGACAGGGTTTCTTTGTGGCTTTAGAGGCTGTCCTGGGTAACTCTTGTAGACCAGGCTGGCCTCGAACTCACAGAGATCCGACTGCCTCTGCCTCCCAAGTGCTGGGATTAAAGGCGTGCGCCACCAACGCCCGGCTATTATTCGGATTTTTGAGGTAGGGTTTTTCTATGTAGTCCTGGCTGTCCTGGAACTTGCTTTGTAGACCAGGCTGGCCTAGAACTCAGAGATCTACTTGCCTCTGTCTCTTGAGTACTGGAACTAAAATTGTGCACCACTGTTGCCTGATATGCTTCTCTCTCTCTCTCTCTCTCTCTCTCTCTCTCTCTCTCTCTCTCTCTCTCTCTCTCTGCACACACACACACACACACACACTTCAAGATAGGGTTTCTCTGTGTAGCCCTGGCTGTCCTGGTACTTGCTCTGTAGACCAAGCTGGCCTTGAACTAACAGAGATATCCCCTCCTCTGCTTCCTGAGTGCTAGGCTTAATGACATGCACCACCATGCTGCCCAGCTATATATGGTATTTTTAACTTTATTTAACCTATTCCAGGTTGACAGAAATTTCCAGTTTGGAGAATTACTAAGAATATTGTAGGAGGCTTGGAGCAAAAATCAGACAGGAAAGCTGATAGGAGATTGACAGCCTAGTTTACAGAGGATTTCTGTCTTTGGGCTGCAGGTGGGAGGAAAAAAATGAAAGGATGCCATAAAAAATTGGCTACACTGACAATATATTCTGGAAGACTACATTCCCAGGTGCTGAAGGAAAGCTCAAGGATGACTTGACTCCTGCCTGCCAACTCCCATTTTATCTTCACCATATTCTGCGGTGTGATCAAATCCAACAACTCCAACTCACAATAGGGTCCCTGCACTCCCTTGGGCCTCTCAGATGGAAAGTTTCCCTTTCTAGAGTCATCTGCTTTGAATGTAGTTTTTTTTTTCATGTTCCCCTTGTTATTCTTGCTTCAGGAGCCAACTCCAGTTTGAACTTTTCTGAGAAAAATTTCCTTATCCTCTATCTGGATGTGGGATCTCCCTACTTGACTCTCACCATACCCTGTACTTACTGCCATGGTAGCACTCACAACACTAATTACCTGCTCACTGTCTGTCTGACCAGAAACTCCAGCAGGGCAAGAAACACGTTTTTCTCATAGTTGGATGTCATCGTATACTCACTCCCTGACTAATACATCTAAATAAATGATAGAGAAGGACAGGAGGCACTATAATTGAGGGGTCTGACCTGGTCATTTCTGAAGGATAAGTACAGGCAAAAAATACAGACTCACAGGAGGAAAAGACTATTCCATGGGCTTGGGATATAGCTGAGAGACAGAAAGTACTTAGCATGTATGAGTCTCTGGGTTCACTTTTACCTCCCACTTCCCACCCAAAAAAATAAAAATAAAAAATAAAGACAAGCATTAGAGCTGTGGGCAAAGGCCAAGTCCATGGTGGCATGTTCTGGTGTGTGCTCAGAAATTTGGAAGATCTTAAAGTGACATAAACCAGAATGGAAAAAAGGAGCATGTATGGTTAGAGTACAGGCTGGAGAGGCGGGCAGAAGCTACCCTGAGATGACCTTTAGCCTAAAAACAGCAAGGAGCCACAAAGAGAGTGAACAATACCATAGTTTCATTTAAAAATTATTTTTGTTGGTAGTATGAAAAGTATCTAGAAGGGAATGCAAGAAGGATAGGATGGTAGCAAGGACTGAATAAAAATTTACACATAGGAGGCAGAGGCAGTAAGATCACAAATTTGAGGACAGCCTGGGTGACCAAGAAGATCAAGCCTTTAAAAGAAAACAACAACAACCCCCCAAAAAACCAAAAAGAAACAACAACAACAAACCCTGAAGACCACTTGCTGCTCTTGGAGAGGGCCTGAGTTTAGTTCTTAGTATCCACGTTGGTGGCTCACAACCACCCATAGCTCCAGATCCAGGGGACCAGATGCTCTCTTCTGGCTTCTGAGGGCTCTTGCATACATGTGACATACGTACATTTTATTAAATATTTTAACGGGGTGGTTGTGATGCTTGCCTATAATCTTAGCACTCGAGAGGCAGAGGCAGGCGTTATCTCTGTGAGTTTGAGGCCAGCTTGGTCTACAAAGTTCCAGAATAGCCAAGGCTATCCAGAGAAACCCCTCCTTGAAAAACAAAACAAAACAAAAAAACTACACCCCCATACCCCCAGATAAAAAGACATTTAGCTAGGTTAGGTGTGGTGGTGCACACTTTTAATCCCAGCATTTAGGGAGGGAGAGGCAGGTGGAGCTCTGTGAGTTTGTCTCAAAAAGTGTGTGGGGGGTTTAAGAGGATTTAGAGGTGAGGGATGAGGGAAAGTAGATTTGATCAAAACACATTATATGCATCTATAAAATTCTCAATAAGAAAGAGACATTTAGGTATTAAGTGGACTATATTAGGAATGGAAGTTATTAAGAATAACACTTGGGGGCTCGTCTTGTATACATTGTGCATTGTGGGATTATTGGATGAATCCCAGATTCGGAAAAGTAGGGGGAGTGCATAGAGAAACAATGAATTTGACATGCTTCAAATATATCCTGAAAGAGATATTAGGGAAACGATTGGTCATACAGATCTGAACTAAAAAGATGAGGGCTTGGCTGGAGATGTGCAGGTGTCAAATAAAGGAGTGGGTGTTGATGGGCACTAGAGGAGGCTATGTGAAGGGGGACACGAGACAGCCCAGAGACATTTAAAATGGTAAGGACCAACCGAGGCCAGCGAATCATGGCAGCTTCAGCCCTCAGATGTTCTGTCAGCTGTTTCCTGCTTAATTTACACTCATTTGATTCCCATTGCCTTCAGTCTCTAGTTTCCTTTCTTCATTAGTAATTTCAAGGATGGACCGAAGTAAATAACTCAAGATGGACGTACAGGTTCCTTTTCCCCTGGACAGTTTAAAGTAATCCTTGGGTCGGGCGTTGGTGGCGCACTCCTTTAATCCCAGCACTCGGGAGGCAGAGGCAGGCGGATCTCTGTGAGTTCGAGGCTGGGCTGGACCGACAGCCTCCAAAACAATACAGGGAAACCCTGTCTCGTAAAAACCAAAAAATAAAAAATAAATAAACAAACAAATAAATAAATAAATAAAGTAATCCTTGGGATAAGTACAAGCTGCTATAGAAGCAGCCAGGTCAAGCTAAAGAGAGATAGTTTGATCTTAAAGAACTGGAATCTACTTCTAGCTTTGTCATTGGTGTGGTGTGTGGTCTTGGGCAAGTCCCTTATCTCTGGGTATCCCTGTGAAACAGGGATAAATATCCTCGACTCACAGAGCTGTTTTATTAGAAAAAGAATCTGTGAAAGAACGTTGGAAGTTACTAGATGTACTAAGTCTGTCATGAGGAATGTAGAAGAAATGAAGATCTAAATTGTAGCTTCCAGAAGCCCACCAGGCAGGGATATAGGAGGAAAAGGCTAATTTACAGACAACACTCATACGCTCGTGGATGGGAGGAACCTAATTCCCTGAAAAAGGTCCTCTTGCTTGGAAAAGTAACGGAAAGGGGGTTTTAAGTCCCGTGACACTGATCTATCATGTTAAGCAAGTCCTGGTTCCCTAGAGGAAAACCAATACCATGCCCGAGGGCGTTTCTACTTTCCCTGTGTCTGGGACTTGAGGCACCTGTACTTGGGTGCCATGCTTGCGTGGAGGTGCCAACATATGTATGGGTATGATATCCATAGCCCCCCATTTTATCTCGTGTTGTGTTCACTGTGAATGTGAATAGGGATTAGTGTTTGGGGAGACTCTCAGGTCCCCGATTGGAAAAAAAATTTTTTTTTTTTTTTGGTTTTTCCAGACAGGGTTTCTCTGTGGCTTTGGAGGCTGTCCTGGAACTCGCTCGGTAGACCAGGCTGGCCTCGAACTCACAGTGATCCGCCTGCCTCTGCCTCCCGAGTGCTGGGATTAAAGGCGTGCGCCACCAACGCCCGGCCCTGGAAAAATTCTTTTTTTTTTTTTTTTTTTTTTTTTTTTTGTGGAGTTCTTCCCTTTCAGAGAGCTTTCGTGTCCTAGAAAGATTTTCCTGTTTTCCCGCCCAACTCACCCGCAGTCTCTTACCCTCAGGCCTCAGCGTCCCAGTACCTGAGTGCAACTCAGTGCAACTCCATGGCAACTACTTTCGTCACCACGCCCCAGAGAGTGCAGTGAACGTGCTCGTGGTGCCTTTCGGGACTTGTAGTTAATCAGGGCGGGACGCCGAAGCCGCGGGGTTTTCTGGGACTTGTAGTTCTTGTTACTTTTAAGGAAGGCCGGAATCAGGAAGTAGTATTACCCATTCTTTTACAGTCGTCCTGGTACTTCCTTTTCCCGGGTCCTCCAGGGTGCCTGGCTAACTACAGCCGACCCGGTCCAATGAGAGGGCGGCGAGAGGGGGCGGGACCATAGTTTAAAGTAATTGTGTCTTCACCGAGCGGGATATACCTCGAGGCGAAGTGCGGTCCGGCGAGCGCGTGGGCGCGCGTCCAGGTAACCGGCGCGGGTCCTTGGCTGGCGTGCGGCCTGGGTGCGCTCAGGGGCTGGCCAGTCGTAGAGGGGTTGCTGACCACTCCGGTGCGAGAGGAGGGCCTCCTTTGTAACCGAGGGTGAAAGGAGTCCCTACAGGGGGCCAGGTTTGTGGGTGCCGGTAATGTTTTTTGGGGGTGCGTCTGTTTGGGGCCTTGCCAGTGGGATATGTATGGTGGAGGACCGCGGTAACGGGGGTTGTGCGATACGCCAATTGTTCGTGAGGGTCCTGTGACGCCAGGTGCTCGCTTATTAATGGTAGCAGCATTGGCATCTCTTAGCCTCCACTATGCTTTTGACGTTGTGTTACACAGTGCAGAATGATCTCATTTAAAGTTTTCCTAACAACCTTGTTAGGTGGGGACCCTGAGGTTTATAATGTTTTACCTTGGCAAGGGTTGCATGGCTGGTGCGAGTTTTGCTATGCTTGTGATTTTTGAGGGTTGAGCATAAAAAATGGGAAGGGACTGTGTTGGGATGCCCTTTGTATGTAAACAATGAGTTTACCTGCCTTACCAACTTCTTGGTTTAGTGTGAGTGGCAAATTAGATAAGGTTTTGTTGTTTTTTCGAGACAGGGTTTCTCTGTAGTTTTGGAGCCTGTACTGTAGCTCACCCTGTAGACCAGACTGGCCTCGAACTCTTGGATCTAGATCCTCCTGCCTCTGCCACCGCCCGGCCAGATACATTGTTTTTACAAGCACCTTCGAGAATACAAACTTAAGATCTTTTGGTTGTAGTTTTGTTTTTCGAGATTGTTTGTTTAGCCCTGACTGTCCTGGACTGCGCCCTGAGACCAAGGTGTTCTCAAACTCTCAGAGATACACTTCTTCTTACTGAGTGCTGGGATTAAAGGTGTGTGCCACTACTGCCCGGCACCAAGATCTTAAGTGATGTGATTATATGAAGGTTGTAGGTGAAAAGAGGCCCATTTGGACTGCTGCTGTGCCCTCTATGTTAACCTCTTATGCTTACCTCTGCGGTCTACTTGCCATCTGTATTATTAGAAACTCTCTCCTATTTGTCTGCTCTTCTAGGTAGTCTCTTATTTGTTACTATTTCCCTATGTCTGGGAATGGAGTGATGGCTCAGCAGTTAAGAGCACTGACCGTTTCTGCCAGAGAACCTGGGTTCAATTCCCAGCACCTACATGGCAGTTAACAACTGTAACTCCAGGATCTGACATCCTCACACAGACATACATGCAGGCAAAACACCAATGCAAACAAAATAAAGATTATTAAAAAAGTGATCATGTAACGGCCATTACTGTATGCCTTGGAATGTATTTTCTTGGGTTGGAAGGGGATAAAAGCTTAGCTTACCCAACTTTTTGTTCTGTTTTTTGGGTTTGTTTTGTAAACTGTATTCTTAGCTCATTTTTTGGTGGCATTTGCTTTAATTTCAAAGTTATCATTTTTTGGGGGTGGGGTGGGGAATGAGACTGCCTCCTGAAAACATAGTTCACCTACTAGTTTTAATATATATTTTTCTCTATCTGGTTTTTGTGGCTTTGTTTCCAAAGTTCTGGGTTTGTTAAGTGTCACTTTGTTGTGGGTGGGAAACATTCCTGGTAAGGAAAGGAGGAGTAAAACTTACTGCACTATGGATATCTCAATTGCTGTGACTGTGTGTGCTGAGTGTCCAGATCAAGTGAAGCTTTCAGTCATAGGGATGCGTATGTGTGGGCTCTGTTTCTGTGTGGTATTTTCTCCTTTAGAGGAAGAAGCACAAAGGATTCTTTTGTTGGCCCAAGTTGGAGCAAATGATGAGTAATTATAATGCCTGAATCTTAGTCTAAAGGCAGTCTTACTCTCAGATTTTACCTGAGCCAGATTTTACTTGACGGCTCATTAAGAAACATTTCTCAATGCCGGATGGATTAAAGGGCGCACGCCTTTAATCCCAGCACTCGGGAGGCAGAGGCAGGCGGATCTCTGTAAGTTCGAGACCAGCCTGGACTACCAAGCGAGTTCCAGGACAGCCTCCAAAGCCACAGAGAAACCCTGTCTCGAAAAAACCAAAAAAAAAAAAAAAAAAAAAAAAAGAAACATTTCTCTTTAGAAATTTCTTTTTTGGGGCTGGAGAGATGGCTCAGTGTTTAAGAACACTGACTGCTCTTCCAAAGGATCCGGGTTCAATTCCCAGCACCCATATGGCAGCTCACACTGCCTGTAACTCCTTGATCTAACAACTTTACACAAAGATACATACAAGCAAAACATAAATACACATAACAACAAATAAATTAAAAAAAAGAAATTTCTTTTTTACTTGTGGAATATGGAAGTGGGATGAATGTCTTGAACTAAGAGTTCTAGAATTTTATCCCATCATTTTTATACTATATTCCCCCCTTTTCTCTCCAGAAAGGGATCTCTGAATCTAATCTCATCTGTTCAATGTTTTGATTTTGTTTTTCCCATGACCAATAACAAGTCATAACCAACCATCCTAAACAGTGACAAATATCCATAACTCACTGAATGACCAAAACTATCCACCCCATCTCTTGGAAATGTGGACGTTGTGTTCTGGATTTCTTTCTGTTGTCTGGGGGTGTTTGCATCGTTGGGGGATCCTAGAAAATTAGGATAATGGTAGAGTTCTGGCTATAATAGTCGGCGAGGCTAGACCATCTCAGCCAGCAGCCTTGAAGCTGTTCTGGATGCAGAACTCTGAGGAAACTGCAACAGAAGCACTCTGAGAGGCTGGATCACCTGGGGCACCCGTTTTCATTAGTGTCTAGTCCCCTTACTCTGAAAACAAACTTTCAAAGGTCACGTACATATTAACATTAACACAAGTAAGGACTGTGAATTGTACACAAGCCAGCCAAAGATCAATTTTTGTTTCATGTTTGAGCAGGTAAAATAGACATCCCCTGTTTTATAGTTTTTCTAGGTTTACTTTTTTGCCTGTAGCCAGAATTTTCAGGGGGTCTCCCCTAGTTAAATCTGATCTCTATCAACCTTGAGTGAATCTACAGCCTTTTGTTTTCTGTGGAAACAAAAGTATAACCTCTTCCCCAATGCAACATATTTTTTGACTTCCATTTTAAAAATATTTAGGTTGGTTTAATTTAGCAGTTTCCATAATCCATTGTCTCTCAGCAGCTATTGTTTGATCATTAGCAATAAAAAAATTTAAAGTCAATATAACACCATACAAGATCCAGACACCCTGTGTATTTCTCACGTCTACGTGGCTTATCCTTTTTATTTTATTTTTTTCTATGACTGTCTATACCCATTTTCTTTTTTAAGCCTATGGACATTTTTTAAGCGCACTGTAACCTGTTCACAAGTTTTTTTCCCCCCATCTGAACCTGCTTTACTGCCTTTTCTGTCTGCATGAGCAAAACATTAAACTGCCCTGCAGCTCATGGTGCACTGGTGACTGAAGCCTGCAGTCGGTGGCCAGGAGTGCCGTTTCTTTACTGTGGCCCTCATGAGAGACTGTAGGACCAAGAAGCTGTGTTTGGTTCCATTTTTGTGTTTGGAACCATTTTTTAAGCTTTCTCCGGTCTTATGTGGAAATACATGTCCCTCGCGTTGGTTGCCATTTGTAGAAAGATTCCAGCCAGCTCCCAAATCATGACACAGAGACTTATTATTAGTTGTGAAAGCTCGGCTGATAGCTTAGGCTTGTTTCTAACTAGTTCTTGTAACTTAAATTAACCCATTTCTATTAATGTACTTTCTGAGTCACAGCTGTATTACCTCATCTTGGTAGTGCCCATGCTGCTTGTTGTGCGTCCCGGTGTCTCCGCCTTTCTTCTTCCCAGCGTCTTTTGTGCCTGGACATCTTGTATAGCTGCTGGCTGTTAAGCTTTTTATTAAACCAGTCAGAGTGACACATCTTCACAGTGAACACAAAGATTATTCCACAATACTCTAATGCTCCTCTTGACTCACTAATTACCTGTTTGTTTGTTTATTTATTTATTTAATTTGAGACAGGGTTCTCTGTGTAACCCCGGCTGACTGTGTTCTGTAGACCAGGCTGGCATCAATCTCAGAGACCCACCTTCCTCTCCCTCCTCGTAGGTCCTGGGATTTAAAGACTGTGACACCACCACCCAGCTATTTGTTTATTTTATATTACTTACTGCATTTTATAAGATAGGGCCTCATGTTGTCCAGGCTAGCCTCAAGCTCATGTAGGTGAGCCTGGGTTTGACTTCCTGATCCTCTTGCTGCTTTGAATGTTGGGTCACAGGTGTGTGTCACCATGTCTGGTTCTTGTCCAGATCTTATATTTATATGGAACCTTCTTCCTGTCCTCTGTATCTTATTCATTCTTTCATAGTATCTATCTGCATCTTTCTGTTTTACCTTTGGGTAGTTTACTTACATCTACTTCCTATTATATTTTAGCTTGTTTTTCAGATAGGTCTGATTTGCTTTTTGGGTTCTTAAATTCTTGTTTCCTTTCTTCTTCTTCTTCTTTTTTTTTTTTTTTTTTTTTTTTTTTTTTGGAGACAGTACTCATTGGCTAGACCACATCTGACTTGAGTTCTTTTTTTCTTTTTCTTTCTTTTTTTTTTTTTTTGTTTTTTGTTTTTTGAGACAGGATTTCTCTGTGTAGCTTTGTAGACCAGGCTGGCCACGAACTCAGATCTCCACCTGCCTTTGCCTCCTGAGTGCTGGGACTAAAGGTGTGCTCCACCAACGCCTGCATTAGTGATGAGATTTTGATAAAAGAGGTTTGAAGGGATAGGATCTAAGGTGGTGGAAGAGATTTAGTAGTTGAGGAGGTAATGGTGGGAATAGTCTGAGATTGTCAGGGGCCAAATGGATTGATTGTGAGAGGGAATCCCAGAGTTTGTTAGATGTACAGATGAGCAGAGAGGCTGAGGCAAGAGCACATTCACAGAGGGGCCAGCCATGGATAGTGTTGTCTAGAGTTTTGGAGAGCTAGGAGGTGGGCAAAGTGTACTTGGAATTTTCTTTGGGCCACCAATCAGCTTCCAAATAAAGACGTAGAGACTTATTATTAATTATGATTGCTTGCCTTTAGTTTAGGCTTGTCACACTCTCTCTTTTAACTGAATTTAACCTGTTTCTATTCATCTATGTTTTGCCTCGGGGCTTTTTATCTTTCTTTTATCTGTGTGCTTGACTTTCCTGCTTCCTCTGTGGC